TGTTGGGGGGGGAGGGGACGAGGATAGGGGAAGTCTTCCTTTACCTGATTTCCTTAGATTCTATTCACAATACAATATAATCTCCACTGTCTTTTAAATCTTTTTTTTTTTTTTTAAATAAGTTCAAATCATGTTAATAGAAATTAACTGCAGTCATTTACTCCCCACAGTCGACGGACCAAGTTCTATTCCATGAACATGTATGAATAAATTTTTCTATCATATGCCAACAAAAAAAAAAGCAAACTTTATGGTTTTTTTTCCACTCTCAAACAATTATAGGTGCTACAAAAAAAAAAAAAAAAAAAAAAAAACAATGTTGAAAGGTAATCCCAAACTTCTAAGCTGCTAAGTTTATTTCTCAGTGTCTGTATTGAATGCAGTAGGATATGTAAGCAGGTTTAAAATATGATCAAAACTATAGAACATTCCAATTCCGGGGCCCCCAACACAAGAATGACATTGAGGTGTTGGAGCAAGTCCAGAGGAGGGCCACAAAGTTCATTAGAGATCTGGAGCACCTCCCCTTTGAGAACCGGTTGAGAGAGTTGGGGCTTTTCAGCCTGGAGAGAAGGCTTTAGGGGAACCTTATAGCAGCCTTCCAGTACCTGAAGAGGCTACAGGAAAGCAGGGGAGGAACTTTTTATAAGGGCATATAGTGACAGTACAAGGGAAAATGGCTTTAAACTGGAAGATGGTAGATTTAGTCTAGATATCAGGAAGAAATTCTTTACTGTGAGGGTGGGGAGACACTGGAACAGTTTGTCCAGAGAGGTTGTCAATGCTTCCACCCTGGACATGTTAAAGGCCAGGCTAGATTGGATTGTGAGCAACCTGGTCTAGAGAGAGGTGTCCCTGCCTATAGCAGGGGATTGAAACTAGATCATCTTAAAGGTTCCTTCCAATCCAAGCCATTCTATGATTCTATATTATTAATTAAGTAAGCTGGAGGACATTTGCCAGCTGGGCCTTACCCACCCAGAGATATCAACTCTGGAAAGCTGGTATGTGCTGGAGAAGAGCATGAAAGCAGTGCTGAGTGGCACAGAAGACAGTACAGCACATTATTGCAAATGTAGAATATTAATCAAAATTATTATTGCTATTGAATCATGGAGCTGAGCTAAGCTCAGCACAAATACATTGAAATACTCTTGGAAAATTCCAGTGTTTTCCCTTTTGTGCTTGCACTTACAACACAGTCTTTGCACCTCCTTCATTCCCTAAAAATTCTTCCAGTTCTCCCTTTGCTCTTCCAGGCCTCTGAAGACACTGCCAAAACAGTATCATCCACTTCCTCCAGCACCGAAGATAAGCAGCCATGTCCTCCACACCAGGGAAACACCCAGCCAGTCTCATGCTTTTCCAGTATCAGCAAAGCCCACAAGGTACTACTACATTTATTCATGCTGATTTCCTGAAAATCAAAACACTCTCCCCTGTCAAAACCACCAGACTTCTCCATCGCACTTCTGCTTATACTTAAGAAAATAGCTGTTGATTCTTTAGACAGCTGTGAATAATTAAGAGAAGTGGTATTTAGCATAATCTGATACCAGCATTTTTTAAAGAAAAAACTGCCAAAATAATGGTAAAGAGGTAAAGGAGTGGAAAAGTAGATGAAACTCTCATGAACACTTTGATTAAGGTCCTACTTTTTTTTCACTGGTATTTAGAGGTTTGGCAATCACTTCTAAGTAAAAGTAATTGCATTTGCTCAGCACAGCTGGTGATGGAAAACCAAGTATGGGGAAATGCCCTAACTGTACCAGAGAGATACAGAAATACCTCCATATCCCAAGGATATTACATTCAGCCAAAGAGATGATAAATCTGTAGCCAGAAATCTTGCTCCAGACATCACATCAATCCTTTACACCAAAAGCCCCCCCCCAGCTTCTCCTACATCATACAAACACACACACTCATACATTTGGAGAGCATGGATAGAGGCTGAGTCCAGCAGTTGTGTTCAGTTGTATGATAAAGCACGTGTATGTCAAATTATGAGATTGACTGCTATTTTCATCTAATATATTGAGCTACATGAAAATGAGTGTGCTGCTCACTGCCCTGTAGATACATGCACACTCCCATGTGACCAAAATATATGTGCATGAATTAGGCAGGTGGTGGACACGCTGAGAACAGGACTGATACACATCCAGTGGCAGCCACGTATAATGCACAGTGCCTCTCTGAAAACCTACTGCAGCCAGAAATTTGGGCACAACTGAGCCATGTCAGTTCTACCCAGCCTTCTCCAAATACCTTCAATTTCAATTCAAGTGGAATTTCGCTTCATTTTTACAAAGGTCACCGGAGTACAAATCCTATAGTACAAATCCCATGAGGAAAGAAAGAAGAAAAAAAAGCAGCTTACAGATCCATGAAGAAATTTACTTCAAGTATATACTTAAAGAGCTAGCTCTGAGTATGCTTTATTTTTCCTGAATGGCGCTTAAATTTTTTCATGGATTAGGTTTAAAGCTGTTGGTTGTTAAGACATTTTATTAATATGAAGTAGCTTCATATTCAGATGTATGACCTGACCTATAACTGAGAAGTTCCAAATCCCAGGGCTGATTCTTCCCCTTGGTAGGGCAGCACATAAATCAAATGCTGTGAGAACTACTACAGGCTGTGCTTGCCAGCAGTCATCAGTATGCAAAGCACTTGGATTAGAAAGGTCCTATTACAAAGCCAAATGCTTTAATATAAATACAAGTAATTTCTTATTCTAGAAGTGAAAGGAGGCAGAAAAAAGTCATAACCACAAGATTCCACATTGCAGTTATAAATACCAAATTTTTTCTAATGCATATATATGTTAATGGTAACAGATTTTTCAATCACAGAGGTAAGAGGGGTAGCACAGACTAAGACCACACATGATCTAGGAAGGCACTTCACATATTTCCCACACAGGCACTTCACTCAAAATACTTATCACCCATCACCAATCCAGTCACAGCTCGGTAGGCAGAAAACACATGTATGGACTGCAGTATGGAGGAGTGGCACTGCACCAGTACCTGCCAGACTGTAAGCAAAGCTATCAAACTGCAGGCATGACTGAGGAGTGCACATTCCATTTTCCAACAAGATTTGGAAGATTTATAAAATCATACACACCACCATTTATACATTCTTATAAACACCTTCATAAAAATACAGGCATATCCTATGGTTTTGGAAGGTTTGGTGAGAATTAAACTTCTACATGCCTAGGGTAGATGGGCCATAAAAGTGGTGTGTCCCCTCATGGAGGACTCCTGCCCTGCAAGAAACCCTTCCTTATCTCTTAACTTTACTAGGCACCCAACATTCTAAGCACAGTCTTCTGCTTGTCATAAAATGACCTCAGAGACCAAGCTAACAAATCACTTGTTAGCACAAAAGCATCTATCCAAACCTGAAATGTCCTCTCCTTTCTCCTACCCTTGCGGAAACGTTCCTTCTACAGATCCCAAATCTCTTGCTTTTTTAACCCACCATGCTTATGTTTTCAGCACAGGTAAAAGGAAAAAAGACTCCTCCTCACTGAAGAAGTCTTGAAACATAGCTCCCAGGGCTTTTTATATGTTTTCTTCCTTTTGCATTCTCTTTGAATGATTTAGTAAATCATTGAATTTTCAGAAACCTGGAGCCTTTGGAAGATTACCAGGTGCTTATCCATATCTTATGTTCCTAAAAACCTTCTAAAAATCTAGACCTCAATCTCTTTTATTATGAAATACATGCTATGTGTGTTCATCAAACCTAGGATATCCAATAAAATAGGTCAGATTTGATACACTGTCCCTTTAGGGACAATGGAAATACTACTTCTCTGAAAGGGTGGTCAGGCACTGGAATGGGCTGCCCAGGGAGGTGGTGGAGTCACCGACCCTGGAGGTGTTCAAAGAACGTTTGGATGTTGTGTTGAGGGATATGGTTTAATGAGAACCATTGGTGACAGGTGGATGGTTGGACTGGATGATCCTATAGGTCTTTTCCAACCTTAGTGATTCTGTGATTCTGTGATTTTGAGGGGCAGAATATTTTCTGGTGATCCCCTCTCAGGAGAGAAAGGTATCATTGTTGACCAGGCACATCAGAAGACAGCATAAAAATGCCCAACTACCAACTTGATTTGGGACCAGAAGGAGCATTCTCCACTTCTCTTTACCAGCTTGTATCTTGAGTTCCTGGTTTGCATCTCCTTTTATCTACACTTTTCTGCTGATGTGAATGTTTCATTTTTGAAAATCTTCAGTCTTCAAAAAACCCTGCTTCTACCTGACTTTAAAGTTTGTAATAATACTTTCAGAATAAGATAAAAGGTACAGAATAAAGCTTATAACTGTTCATATCTCTTCTCCTCTCCTCTCAGAATAAATCCTAATTGCGACTTTTCTCATTTGTGATAATTAATACTGTGGATGCTGCTCTTTTTTATGGAAGTCTATAACCTTTTCCTGCAAATAATTTATGCCAAAAAATAACCAGCCTCTGAATTTCTATAGCAGTAATAAAATGCCAAGGGCTGTTAATTTTCAGGAATGAGGTAACTAAAGTATTTAAGTTCTCAGTCATTTTTATTTTATGATAATGAAAATTTTACATATAATTCTTTCTTTTCCAGGCATCCATCTTTTAGAGACCTGAATGAAGTAAGTAATCATCTTTGTATATATTATTACTGCCAAAACCATACACTGTTCAGGGCTGCACATCTTCTGGTGTAACAGTATTTCAGTCATGACTTAGCCTGGTAGGTAAAAAACACTATAATAACCAAATTATTTTTGGTCATAAATATATCTATTCTTAATGTATATAGTACTTTCAAAACTGCTATGCTGTGAACGACAGTTAAAATCCTGAAGTTCCTTACAGAAATAAAAGCGCACACAGTGTTAAGCAACCTTCCCAAGTAGCCAAATAAAAGTGCATCTCATCAGTGCCAAATGCTGCAGATGTCTATGAAAGCTGTGCAGAATGGAGAGGCACTCGTGTGCTCTCAAGGCCAGTAATGCTAAAGAAGAATCTCTGTGCTCTCATTTCCAACAAAGGCTGCCAACAGAAAGCTCTCCCTCACCGCCCACACCTCTAAGCAGCCTATAGACAGAGGGCAGAAACTGAGAGGCAATGCCATGAACTCCTTTAAAGGCATAATACACTTCTGTAACATTCTTTTTATCTCACTGCAAGGGAGAACAGGAAATAAAGGAATCTCTACACCAGCTAAATATAGCCTTTTCCTAACACAGATGCCGTATCACAAACCTATAAGCTAGTCTAACTTCAAAATGATTTGAATTTTAATTCTCCACAGTCCCAACCAGAGGGCTGTCCCAGAACCTCACTCCTCCAATGGTTTGAAACTCCTACGCTTTGAGAGGTTATTAAAAACATGCTTTGATTGCAATATTGTAATTCACATTTAAAGCCAAACAATATTACCAAGAAAGATAATATTTTAACACAAAAGCTTTGCCATGTCCCAGATACTGATTCATTACAGAAACCAAATTAAAAAACACTCCCAAGAACAATAAACATCTTACATCTGTAATTAATATTTCTGGTTGGGCACTATACAGCTGTGCAAATACTGCAGCTCCTAATAAGCTCATAGTTTGGCTACGTCTTGAAGAGAAATACTGTATATCTCATAACATGGAAAAGATAATAAAATTGGATTTGAATGGTTCACCTCCCATTCATACTGCTCCTAAGATATAAATAGTTTCAGCATGATCCAGAGGAGGAGATGAGATGCACCCTTGCCAAGTTTCTGGACACCAAACTGCAGGTCAGTGTGGTTGAGAGAGGAAAACAAAAAAATTAAGAGGATAATTATGAGGATGCTGGAACAGGTGACCCAGAGAAGCAATGAAGACTATGTTCTGGATGTCTGTAAGACTGACCTGGGCAAAGCTCTGAGCCTAACCTCACCAGCCATCTTGTGCTTTGAGTAGAAGTCTGGTCTAGATACTTGCCCAGGTCCCTTCCAACCTGAATAGACAAACTAATTTCTAAGAAATGCAAAAACATTAACGGGAAGATAAGTTTTTGGGAAGACTGAAGAAGCAACATCTACACAGAGCAAAAAAACTCTTTAATATTTATTAATTATATTCTTGTAACATATTAATAATCAAAATAGTTACTATTCCCATACTACAGAAATACAGTGAAAATGCACCAAACTCTGGTCTATAGATACCTATATGTCATTCACTTCTTTGCAATATCATACGCTGTATTTAGACTCTCCACACAGTGATTTTGAATGAAGTATCTGCCACGACAGCAAAATTACACTATCAGTTAAGGACTCTGAAAAGAAATGACTGATTTTAATCTTCAGATAGTGTGCCTCTAGTCAATCAAAAATCAATCTCTTGATTTCATACAAAATCGATGAGGAACCATATTGTCAGTTAACGACGTGCAAAAGTGATCATGAAATGGTGATCACTGCAATAAACCCTATGTTCATTTATACCCCTGAACATTCATTTCTCATTGTTGCCAGTGGACTGAGATGAGAATTTAGCCTGAATTTCTGATCAAGTGATCAAGGGTTCATAGTTGAATGTCTATAAAATGTTTTAAATTGAAAAGATATTCGGGTTTGTTAAGGTAATTCAAGGTGGCAATTAAAAGAAAAATACTTACTGTGTTATCATTTTATATAGGCATCTGGACACGATAAAGGTTAGTATTTAATTATACAATATTAATTTGTTTTCTTTCTTTTGTATTACAAGATCAAAGTATTCTATCATTAAAACTCCATCTGAGGTAATCAGTAAAGGAAACTAACAAACATCCTGCTATATAGGATCATACAGTCTGGCTCTATATTCAAACTAGTGTTAGACGTCCCATTGGTATACATCTGCTGAGAACAGAGATTTAGACTGACCTGTACACTTGTGGGAGTTGAGCAGAAAAAGGAATTTAACTCAACATTTGCTACACCTATCTGGGTAAGCACAGCAACATACTCATTCCAGGCAAATCAAATTCTTAAGGTCCTAGGGGGAAAAAACAATATTGGAACCTTAAAAATATGAGAGAAGGATATCCTGAAAGGTTAAAAAACCAGGCACAAATCTAATCTACCGATATATCATCTGCTTTCTCTCCATCTTGACTCTCTCCCGAGAGATGCAAGGCTGAGAATTTCAAAAGAAAGATTTTTTGGAAGCTACAAATAAACCAGTGGGTGGTGGTTTGGTTTTGTTTTAAAATAGTGTTTCAAAAATATGTAAATTCTTTAAATGTACACAAAGCTTTTAAAAGAACGTCTTATGTCACTCAGTTTGTATGTATGCATGAAGGTCCAGGAAAATTTTTTTTTTTTTTTTTTACTCGACAATACCTCAGAGACAGACACAGGCTAAGCAATCATGATGCTGTTTACACCTCCCTGTCAATGATTTCATAATTTCTTCTGGCAGTTCATTTTGTGAATTAAGGTGCAGTTTCCTGATTTTCAGGTAGAAATAATACTGACTGCATTGATACATTCATTATCTGTCCCACACTACAAAAGGGATTTATAAACTCTTTGTACATTACTAGTACAGTATTCTGTTTTTTGTTTTTTGTTTTTTTACCATTATGTTAGTTACATACACTACTAGCAAAAACCTGTGATGTTCAGCATCACCATGTAACATTCAGTACTACAGTAATGTTTCCACTGAAATAACGAGTTTACTGATTTAAATCAAACTAACTGTAGACTATTTCTCTACTGAACTGCTTCCCCTTGTATATGAACTTGGGGAACTTAATTCTTTTTCATAGTAGTTGCTAGATACTGTCAAAGTTGCACATGAGAGGAAATAATAAATTCTTACTTGTTTTATTAATTGACACAGATACAAGGAAGAAACTTGAATTGATTGTACAAGAACAACAGTATAAAGCAAAGCATATTCCTGAAGCCAGGTAAGAATTTCATTGTACTAGAAGCTTCAAGATCTAAGATTTCTGCACCCAGAAAGTTATACTTCACTACATAATAAAAGCAGGATTATATCAATTCTTGATGTCAGGGAGTGACACATTATGTTTTTACCTGAAGCACAAGAGTAACCATCCTTGGGAACTGCTTCAGCCTATGCTTGAATTTTTATCTTTATTAGCATACTATTGTATTATATTTTTGCCTAAGTTTTCAAGAAAGAGCGTTAAACGTACCATATGAAGTAACTCTTCCACCTCCAGCCTCAGCATTTCCAATATATTCTATTTTCTATTTTTATATATGAAGAATATACGCATGGCCTTCTTAAGGCCAATTACTATTCCATAGAAATCTGCCACAATTCTCCTACTTTTCTAACTTACATAAATCTTTTCTAAATGTGTTATTCGATCTAAAGGGACACCCCTTCCAAAGCACTCAATAAAATATAAAAGTATAGGATAAAGTATAGGAAATGTGCCTATGATTTAACACCCTCATTAAGTAGACAAATGCAGCAGAATGATTGAACAGAACCTCTCATCTATCCTTCTTGATGACAACAGTACTTCTCCAAGACAAAATAATCACCTGTAGTAAATGTGATTGCTAGTCACTGGACTAGCAGTATTGTACCAGTGGCTGTTACAAGGAGTAAATAATGCTGCCATAAAACATCATAACATGAAATTCTTGCAAAGACCTGTCAGGGTCAAAAAAGGTATGTAACTTCCAAAAGTAGCTGGAGAAATTAATGGAAGAGAAATCAGCCAAAAGCTGTTAAACACAAAATCACCACCTGAAACCAGAAGCGTATAAAACACCAATGTGTTGAAGGATTAAAGAATATTTTGGGGTAGCACAGCCATACACTGCTCAGTGACCTTACTCTTAAACAATTGCCTCTAAGAGAAATATTTTTCTGACATTCCTTTCATTGCTTTCTCCTAGCTTTCAATATACGCAGAACTCCAAAAACATTTGCAGCTCAGGTAAGAACCAGAGATCACTTTGAAAACTAAACCAGGAATGGAGAAATGCTAATCACAGTTATGGTGACACATTAAGCACCAGCTTCATGGGTCTGTGTGTGCACATCTGCACTGGGTCACAGAATTGATGCATGTAGTCACAGCATTGCAGGAGCTGGGAAGTACTTCTGCAGATCACTGAGTCCAACTCCCTGCTAAAGCAGTTCCCTACAGCAGGGCTCACAGAAAGGCATCCAGGTGGGTCTCCAGAGGAGAAGACTATTCCAGTGCTCCATCACTCTGTCAGTAAAGTTATTCCTTGGGTTAGTATGGGAATTCTCATATTCCACTTTCTACTCATTGCCCCTTGTTCTATTGTTGCTTGCTACCAATTAGGGTCCACCCCTATTACTTTGACTCCTGCACTTTAGATATTCATCTCAGCCTTTCCTCACATGGAAGATGCTCCAGGCCTTTAATCACTCGAGAAGTGCCAGCACAAGGGGATTATTAAAAAAAAAAAAAAAAACAGACAAAAAAGCAAAATGATGGCATAATCAATAAGAACCAATAGGACTTATTGGCTGTACTCCATGCATGGCTCAAGTTCAGAAATGCCTATGCTAGGACTTCAGAAAAGCAAGGAGTTTGGGATGAGCTGCTGAACAACGATGGGGATGGGAGCAGAATGCAAATAGCTGGGCTTGCAAAGAGATACAAAGGAAGGGCACTAAACAGCACAGGCTTCTTCCTCAGTCAGAGCTGTGGTCAGCTGACTGGAAGCTGCAGATGTTAAGGATGTTATATGGCAGCTGCTATTGTTTTAATGACTTTAAGTGAATGCATTGATCTTTTCTTTGTGAAAACTGCTTTTGGCATTCTGCAGATTCCTAGAGGGAGGGACTTGCAGGTGGCATTATAGGACAGTTCTGTCAGTGCATTATAGCTAGAAATAGATGACTCACTGAACTGCATAGCGTTCTGTGAAGGAACAAACAGGCTTGGGAGCCAGCAGTGATGGCTGTGCCCAGCCCCAGCCCCTGGGGTGGCGTGTCCGGTAACCATGGCAATGTCACTCCCATCATTGTCCCCGTGCTGTCTGCAATTCCCAGAGCTGGACATGCCCAGGAATGGTTTCACCACTCTGCCTCGTTATTCTTGAAGATGATACTTCCACAAACATCCTTAAAAGCAGCGTTAGCTTTTTGCTGTTGTATCATATTGGAACTGTTGCATGCCAACCTATCTCTACTAAAAAAAATAAATAAAAAGCTTCTTTTATTTAACCCTTTTGGCCCCAAATTTCTGTTACATCTCTCCTTGTCAACAAACTTTCCACTGCTTTAAAAAGCACTTTCATAAAGTAAGTAAATAAGATTTTAAAAAAATGGCATCTGCTTACAGACTTATGAAAACCAAAATCCTTCATTAACCCAACCTCACGGTAAGAATTATGCAAGCAAAAGAAAAAACTTATGATTGCATTCTGCAATTTTTATTTATTTTTTGAACAAATACATGACAAAGTGAAAAGATGCTAAAAGGGAAATTCTCTAAAATATTGGTCTTTCATTATTAGATTGAATGACAGAGATGCATACTGTGGAATGAGTACGTACAAATAACATGATCCTCATCTTTTTGTTTTGCTTTAGGTGTTTGTTTTTTTTTTGCTGCTGTTACTGTTGAATATCATTTGAAGTGCACCAGTCAGGTTCACCCATATTGTATCTCAGTTTTTAAAGCAAAGCTTTGAGAGCTTGTGCCCTGGGAGAACCAGGGGCTTTGGGGACTCAGAAGCAATCAGACACATCTGTGCAGGTTAACCTCCTGCTATCCTTATCAGCACTTACTGTACTTTCATACTCTCCCTCAACTGCCTCCGCAAATGCCCTATCAAAAACAGAAACTTCCAAGCTATTCTGATAGCCTATGAGTTGCATAATCTGAATTTATGCTGTAAGCAGATAAACACCAGTGCAACAGTATGAAGTCATGGAAAGCACAGCAATGATAGTAGGGTAGCAAAGTCCTAGGCTGAAGCAAGTAAGGATAAGCCAAAATGCAGCAGCTGTAGACACAGAAGCAAAAGAAAGAATCTGCTTACCTTTAGGAGGCCTCAAGCAGGCAGAGATGCAGGCAGATATCCTTGCCTCCACTGCCAACCCTTAAATGAAGTCTGAGAAGGGGTGGATATTTGCTCTACCCCTTCTAATCATCAGGTTCATTGCATGCACCTGAGCTCCCCTGGGTTGGCCCTGCCTTCCCACCAGGTGCTCAATCACGGTTCAAGCCATGACTTAGCATTTCCACTACAACCAGGAAGCACGCAAAGGCCACATCATTTATTCAAAGTAGGATTTACCTCAACCTCAGCTAATACCAGGTCAAAGATGCCCCTCTCCCTCAGCTTTGTGTCACAAGCTCCAGCTCCACAATGGTGGTGGCCTTGCACTGAGCCACTTTCCTCCTGACATGTTAGTTGCACTGGCAGCACAACTCCATCTGTTCTCCTCCCCTGCACATCTACTAAAAACCTCCCTTTACCTCTGTTTCCAGCTGTTCTCAATAGTCTCTCAATCAATTGATTCTTTTTCCTAAGTGCCCTGTACCAATTTCAGGTTCAGAAACTTCCACTGCTCCTCTTGGTCATTCAGTCAGGCACAATTCCCTTTCCCTCTGTACAATCACTGCCCTTGTGAAGCAACAGGGACAGAATAAACAAGTGCCCATACCCCCCTGCTATCCTACGATTTTCTTTAAAGTCCATGTTTGAAATAAAAAAAAAATATATTTTATAAATATTGACTTTATTAGATATATACAAAAACCTTATATTTTTACCATATGTAAGTACATATTTCTCACTTACTGGTATTTTTATTTTTTATTGCTAAAAACAAATTATTACCTGCAAAAATGTAACTGTTCTTTAATTTCCTGGTGAGCATCGCCATCTGCTTCTCATCCTACAGTTTAAGATACACCAGAAAGAAATTATAAAGAACATGTCACAAATGTAGAGCTGTGAAGTCTCTTTTAAAAATAAAGTATGTGGGGACAGTCACAAAAAAATGAAATGTGAATACAGATGACAGCTTCAATGCATAATAAACCTAATAGCAGCATATTAGCGCTTAACAACTCAATCTGATCGCAGAAAGAAAATGTAGATGCTTGGCTCCAAACCCTTTACACAACTGGCTCAGCAATTTCATTTCTGAGCAGATCAATTGCCCTCTGAATGTGAATCAATATGTAAAAAACACTGCTTTTTTCTTACTGACATCAGTGGACACTGTTTACAGACTTAGAGACAAAAGTAATGGTGCTGTAAACCAGAACACGGTACATACAACATGAAAACATGAAACAATTACAATTATTACTCATCTGTATGAAAAAGTTTCTGAACTCCCTTCATATGCTATCATATTTTATGTATAGGTAGAAGAATGGTATACTGATAGAACATGAACAATACAAAAGAATATCATTTTGGCAAGCAGTGCTATCTCTTATGACCCAAACCAAAAGGAAAAGATGGAAGCCATCAGTTATTACATTCTTCTCATTTACGACAGTCATTAAGTCATTTCTCCGAACAGCACTGCCTTCTATTGTATGGCAGGATAAGCTTTTACGCTACAATTAACCATTTTCTTCTCATGATGTGCTTCTGCAAAATGCATTCTAACCATACACCTGGAATCTTTTCTAAAGGTTGTTTCCTCCGCAGCCTCACGTACCTCAGACAGTCCAAGCCTTCCCACATCACCCCACACTTGATGCTCCCACCCTGCCTTGCACGCTTGCACAGATCCCAGGTGATGCTCTGCTAAAGGCAGCATTAAATATACAGACTACAGATCACTTGCTTTGGGAAGACATTTTTCATGTCTGAACATCCTCAGATGGGTAAAAGCAGAGCAGAATTACATATGAACGTATATGTCCCCCATTAATTACGTTACATAATATTTGATATTTTATTAATAATTTATATTTAATATTTCACTATGCTCATAGAATCATAGAATTGCTCAGGTTGGAAAAGACCTTAAAGATCATCAAGTCCAACCGCAACCTGACCATACTACCCTAAATGTGTACTGTACATACTGCCCTTATGTGTAGAAGAACCTGCTATCAATTAAAATACATCAGAAAACGTTACATTTCTTGAGGCATGAATCTGATATCATTGCTGCTGCATTGGCCTAAGGGCCATCGTAACAAACTGTTCAAAATTTCAAAGGTTATCAAACCACAAATGCTATTCTATTGTATAAAATTCATACAGTAAAATTAAGATCAAATTAAAAGCAATACAATTCTTTTCCTTCTGAATTTATTTTCACAGGATCCACGGTAAATGCAGACAATGCGTCAGTCAAGAGGTCACCACCTCCCATACACTATACAACATGTGAAAATAAACCAAAACATTCACTTGTAAAAGAGGAAATGGAATATATTGCCCAACCCATGGAAAAGGTAAAGAATACTTAATGGATAGAGAGGATTTTCAGTAAACAGGATTATCAATCTATAGCATGCACACATCTAAGAAATACTGCCTACTGAAAACATTTCTCTAAGAAATTACATGACCTGAAATCTGTGAGCTTTCAACACCCCTGAAAACAATCCAGCATGAGCTGATAACAATTTAGATGTTTATTTTGAAACAGATTTTCCAAAATGATTTCATGATATAGATGCATTATAATTATTTTAATAAACTGCCATAAAGTTGCCTTAAATGCAAATTAGATATAATCTGTTTTTACTGACATTTGCTTCTGCAGCTGTGATTCATTTCAATACACTGATTATTATGTCTTAATTTTAAGGACTTACATAAATATGAATGGTACATGGGAGAATACAATCGCCATGAAGCAGAGGCAGCGCTCCTGGAGGAGAACACTGTGAGTACAATTTATCCTGAAACTCATGGTGTAAACTTTTAGAGAAAACATCCTAAAACTGTCCACAGCAGCTCAGGTTTTTTTCTAAATTAACCGTATAATCCATACTAACTTTGATGTATAATACAGTTTAAAATGTTACCAACATATACACACCACCAACTAGTCCACTAATTAACGCATCAGACATTACTGACAAGGTTAAGGACACAATTTTACTTTTTAATTAACTTCTTGTCATAAAAGCATCTACTTAACTTGCTGTTTTGCAAGTCATTACTAATCTCCAGCTTTGAAAGGCACAGCCTGGAGGGAGCAGGGAGAGCAGAATACTCCCGGAGGCAGAAAGTGAAGTGCAGAGCATTTGGCCCCTACAGGAAGAATTTCCTCACTGCCTCACCCAGTGCAACATGGGTGTGATAAAAGTAATTCCATTGGAGCTTATCGGTTTAAAAAGATACACAGTATGGTCAACAGAAGACATAAAATCCTTCAGTCTCCTAACCACTTAGATATTGAAATCATACCTATAGGGCTGAAGCACAGGAGACCTGTCTCAGCTCATCAGCTTCCAGTGATCCAAACTATGACGACTAGATTTATTTATTCCTATTTTTAAGAGAGGCAAATGCAGCAACTGCTTTCTTTGAGGACACCTTTAGCACCAAACCTCTTCGCATCAGTCTTAGGTTAGGTGTGCTTACCCAAGGAGCAAGAGGATCGATGTGGGTTAATAGCCAGCAGGGGCTTTTGAAGGGATGGAGCCCCACAGGACATCAGGGAGTCTCACACACCCTGGTGCCCACCCTGGTTTTCTGGCAGACCCACATCAGAGCCAGCTGCAGAGTAATGCTGAGGACAGCAAGGCCAAGCAACAATACCACCGCGTTATTCCAATACTGTTAATTTTCTTGTGGTCATTTAACTTCTCCCACTGGGTTTCTAGTCCAATATATTCAGAGAGGGTTTGACAATGTGTTCTTTTTATAGAATACTTCTATGCATAATAGTTTGAAAAATAATGCCAGATCCTATGTGAAACAGGAGAGGGAAGACGGTTTCTCAGTAAGCTCTTCCTTAACAAAACTAATTGCATGCAGAGCAATGGCTTGAGTCTTCCCATCAGCCCTAAGTTTGAGTAGAGTTTGCACTACTCTACACAGGTCACTTTGAAAAGAGTTCAGAAAGCAAAATGTACAGCTGCTCTGCAATTGTGGAGGGTAGCATAGCTAAGAAGCAGCTAACAGAAGAGCGCCTTTGGTCACAGCCAAGCGTCAGAATAGTTCTGATACAATACTCTGGTTCACAGCTCCAAAAAATTTCCCTTTGTTGTTCTTCATGATAGCCCTCCTTTCCAACCCAGGCTATTCTATGATTCTGATTCTATTCAAAAGTAAAACAGATTTTGCAATCTCCTATCCTCAGCTACCTGTGAAAACTCTAAAAGCATACATTTAAGAATTATTTTAACGTATTCTAGTAGAAATATATTCCAGCAGTTTTCTTCAATATTTTCTTCAAACAGTCTCACTGAAGTGCATAAATACATTTTTCCTTCACTGCTGTGGTTTTTGTATCTGCATTCTGGCCAGGAAAAAAAAGCTTCTAATCTTACCTTCCATAACAAATGATCAGCATTTACCACTGATTTCAGCAAGCACAGAATCAGATACACTAAGATTATTAATAGCATTCCTTGATTAATATCTCTTGATTTCTTCATTTACTGCATATTCTTTAAAAAAAAAAAAAAAAAAGAAGTTAAGTTCAGTACTGCTGATGCAGTTCACAGTTCTGGTCAGCAACTCCTGCAGCTCCTACTACAGTGACATTAATTTGTTATTATTCACATAGAACCTAAAACTTGGGTAATGCTTGGAATTCTCTGAAATTCTTAGCTTTGTTGATTTACATTTTTTTTTTTTTTTTTTACTGTATTCTCTAACACTCTCAACAATTAAAAATATGGAACCATTTATGTGAGTACCCATTCCGTACAATAAATAAAAGAAATAATAATTTTGAAAAGCTGATATGTTTTCCTTTCCTCTGCTCTTATACTGCATAAATGAGAAATATCATGTTGGCATGATACAAAATCACTCACATGAAATAATGTGGGGATGTCTTCATTCCATCACTGTTAACATTTTTCTTAGGCCTTTCCACAAGACTAACCTAGTTAGATCACAGAATTTGAAACATTTTCTAGACAACATTTAAATTCATGAGCTCCTTAGGCATATGAGAGGCTTCACTGTGCTAAGTGAAATTGCTAAAACATTTGCAGTCATGCAAATGTTTACCTACATACTGAACTTTATAACTATGAACGGCCTGCTGACTGGCTCTGCAGGGGTGTCAGCTCCGAACACACATGCAGATGGCCAAAACTATCTTCCAATATTATTTCTGTTCTCACTGTTACATTTCATGGGTATCGTTTTATTATTCCACGTCCTAAAAGAAACTCACTGTAATTGAAATTGTTGTAACAATTGTGTAAAGGTCGTATTACGCTTTGAGATTACCCCAACAGTGTAAATATGTATCAGATCAGAGTAAGACTCTACAATTTAGAACTCTAAGGTCGTAACAAGAGACCATATCCTTGTATCATAAATAGCTGTTCCATCCATATACTGTCTTCAAAAGCAAATAGAAAACCAATTAATTATAATGCCTTTACTCTCTTCCTACTCAGTCACTCATTAACTCCTCTCTTTTAAGCAATTTGACTTTCAATATCCCATTTTCACTTTAAGATCATTCACTAGTATATGACAGAGCTTTCAGATTAACATTGTACAATATGGCAGCACATGATTCTTCACTATTATCAAACTGTTGGATAATTATATACGACTTACAGAAATTAACACAGAGCTGTATTACGTTTAAAGGAAATACTTTTCTACATTGCTTTTATAACATTAAATTTCATTTTAAAAAATAGTTTTATTCCAGCTATACAGTATCACACTGTTATAATTAACTAACTCTGCAAGATTTTAAGCCAAACAGCAGTTACAGGTAAATGTTATGATATATGCTACAATAATTTGCGTTATACAGGATGAGACTTTCCTGGTTAGAGATTGTTCAAAGAAATCAAACTCCGAACCATACGTTTTGGTTGTCTATTATGGAAGACGAGTTTACAACATTAAAGTACGTTTTCTGGAAGATAGTCAACAGTATGCACTGGGAACTGGGCTCAGAGGAGACGATGTAAGTAAAATCCCTTCTCATGCTTTAGTCTACTGCTTCTGTGTCACACTATACAAGTTCTTAACATCAGATAGTTATAAACTTCTCATTTAACATACTAGCTATGCTTCATTAAAGTTTGTTCTACAATACCGGCATTTGAATTGCATCTCAATGTTTCAAGAAACCTCAAGTTAATAATTTAGAATCAAATTTTACATAACATGCTCTGATTTAAATCAATGTGAAAATTTCCTAAGTGCTTATGATTTTTCTACCTACTCTAAGTAACACCTGCAAAGTAATGGGGAAAAGTCCTCCCTTTCCAGGTATGTATTGTTCCATCTATCACTGTAGCTTATTTTGTAGTCTGGTATATTTAAGATAAGCAGAAATACTAGGAGATATACAACTCCATGTATCTGACAGCTTGGTCTGCTGCTGTGATTAGTGCATAACCAGATTCTCTAATCATCTTTCACTCATATAACAAACTCTAAATCAATATTAAAAAGAAATGAAGAAAGAGGACAAAAGCAATCATGGATATTCAGAAGCCAAAAAAAAAAAAAAAAAAATTCCCCTCTAATCAGTCTTCTAAAAATGGTAAAATTTCAGTCAGAAATTCCTTTACATTAGTAGTGTTCTTTCACATAGTTATACTCAATTATATTCAATTATATGACGAAACTAATTCTTATCTTGTCTATATGGTTAAGTATCAAAAACTCTATCTGCATGTCTTTCACATAAGAAAAAACTAAACAGTCATCTTATAAAGATGTGATAAAGAAAAAATAAAAGATTACTCAGCTGAGCATTAAATTCAGCTGCACAGAAAAAAAGAAAAGCAGAACAAGAAACCGCTACAAAGGTTGTTAGATATGTAAATAAACATATCCCAATAAGGTGAAGTGACAAAGCCCACGTAGCTGAATCTTCAACTATATCCTTTGTATGCATGTTAGTACTTCTAAAACTCATCCTGCAGCCAAACACCACATGGCATGGGGGGAAAGGAAAGGAAGAGTAAAAGCAAAACAAGCCAAAGAAGATCAAGATAAAAGTATTTTAATAAACAAAGGAGAAGCGGAAGAGAAAAAAACAAAAACACAGGAAGTGATGCAAAAGCAAAGCAATCACTCAGCACCTCCCATGGGTGAGCCGAGGAAAAGATGGCTCAGCTCCTTACACCCCATCCACGCCCTTTTTATTGCTGAATATGACATCACACAGCACAGAATACCCCTTCATTTAGCCCAGCTCATCTGCTTGGTTGTCGTCTCTCAGCGTTTTGCTCACTCACTGATCTATTCATTGCGTGGGGGGTGGAGCGAGAAACACAAAGCCTTGACGCTATCTACTGGTCAGCAGGAGCTAAAGCATCCGTGTGTTATCGTCTAAAAACACTGCACCATACGACCTGCTATGAAGGAAATTAACTCCATCCTCACCAGACATGTCCAGACAAGTCAAAAGCTAACAAAGACCTGAATTCAAAACCTACCCAAACTAATTTCATTCATTTAACAGGTCCAAGATTTACAGTTCAACTCTTCATGGAAATCATGGGAGGAATCACAAGCTTTCAGGCATATGAGATGCAAGTTAACTAGCAAGTTGTTCTTCAGGAAGATTGGTTTAATAATGAATCATAAACCAAAATCTTTACTGTACACAAACAGTTTGGGAAGCAGGAGGTTAGAATAAATCATACTGCTGGTACCATTACTGTGGCACAGCTGCAGTGCAGTCTTCTGTGAAATATTGTCTGTGGTTCTGAACTGAACCTCACAGATATCTTCCTGGAGTTTTACTATAAATTAAGAGACGGAGAGTTTAGCTTTCCATGATTTTTATGTCGTTCAGTCCTCCTGTAACTGCCCAGATGAAAAAGCCTCAGATTAAAAACAAGGGATTTAAAAAACTGAATGAAGTTGAAATATAGTACACTATGGAATAAAGATAAAAACCCAATCTGTTTGTCATTTGAGCAGACTTGACAATTAAGGGAACTAGAAAATTACATGAATATGAAAACCAAGTGGGGGGAAGGGATTTTTACTGAACTAAAAGGAAGCAGAGCACAATCTCACCATCTCAGGAAATACCATAACAAATGACTCTGTTGTTTGTTTCATCTTATGTACAGTAAAGAGAGCATCTTGAACAGTGGGTCTGGACTGAAACTAAAATTGGAAAACTGCAATCTGAGAACAAGGATTAGAAGTATACAGTTAATCACAGAATGGCTTGGGTTGGAAGGGACCTTAAAGAACATCTAGTTCCAACCTCCTGCTGTGGACAGGGTTGCCAACCACCAGATCAGGCTGCTCAGGGCCCCATCCCTGAACACCCCCAGGGATGGGGTTTCCACAGCTTCTGGGGGCAGCCTGTGCCAGTGCCTCAGCACCGACGCAGTGAAGAAGCTTCAGTCTTACTGCTATTCTGCAGCATGTTTAGCCTATTTCCATTCACTGAAAGCTTGTATTCTTAGACACCAAATATGAATATTCAAGTTTTTCCCCTAACTCTTGATTTTTGCATATAGATTACACTTTGTACCATGATTTTTTTTTTTAATTTTTTTTTTTAACACATTGAATTCAACTTCCAGAAGAGGATCACTAGCTCTTATGGCCCTCTGCTCTTATAGCCCTTTATAAGGGGCCTGTAAAGTAGAAAATAATTCTCCAATTATCAGATTTTTATTTTAGAAAGTTTTTACTTCTATGACAATGTAATGGTGATCAGAAGCAATTTACTAAAATTCCTTGCAGATAAGTTAGTATCAAGCTGGAATGAATACAAGCAAAGAAGACAAAAAACAATTTTAATTCTGTTAGCATCTTTTACTAGCAATTTAGCCAGATTTCTTACATTGTACTAAGCTTGCTCCAGATCAAATCACAAAAAGCTGCAAAGATCAGATCCACAAATGGGACATTTAATATGAAATTTAAGCACTTACATTCAAAATTGCTGTTCTGAACATCATTTACTTCTCTCCCCCCCCCTCCAGCCAGTTGTTTTCTTTATTAAAGATCCACAGACAGCTTTATCACTACTGCTCTTGATGTGCATGGTTCCTATGACAGAGCTAAACAACTCAAACCTTTGCTCATGTTAAAGTCTCTTAACAGCAAAAAAATTATTTTCTTATTATTCATTTTGCAAAATTACCTACCACACAGAAACATATGATTTTAGCAAAGTGGAAAAAAACTAAACAAGTAAAAAATCATGAAAAAAAAAAAAAAAAGCTCATTTTCTTTGAAACAGAATAACTTTTATCATAAAATAATACAAGAGCAGTTACACCAAATGACAGATTACACCTGATCCTCTTGGTCTAAACTGGGTGTGGATGAGGTGGAAGTGACAGTGATTTCCAAGAGATATCATCACGCATACAATAGGACTGTAAATAGAATAAATGCGATATAATAAACCATGCACTTCTTTCAAAGTACTGAAGTAACAGTATACTTACAATGTTGTGTACAGATGTACCAATTTAATAACAATGAATCCATAGATTCAAAATGAATTTTGTAATGGCAATAGTAAAAATCAATCACTTACCTCTAGAGTTAAAATTAGAAGTCAAATTTGTTTCACGTGCAAAAGCTGAGAAGGTATACAGAGAGAGGTGTACTACTTAAACTGAAAGACACAGGATGATGACTACAGCACTGCCTGAAAAGTAGACAAGTAGAGGATTGCTAACCATCAGAATGGCAGAATCAAGGATGGAGTCTCACCAGCAGAGGAGGTGAAGGCAGCTTTCAGTTGCAGTTTGAGTCAGTTTAAGAACCTTGAACAAAGCCATCATTTTATGAACAGGATTAAAGGATGTCACTGTTTCCAATACCAGTGAATAAAACTAAAACTGTGCTTTAAAGGGATTTTATATTCACTTGGTAAACTGAGCATTGGGGGGAAAAAAAAGAAAAAAAAAAAATCAAATGACAGATAAACTAGTAATGTTTCCTGTGCTACTAACTAATGTAATTTTTGACAAGGTAAAGTTTTAGTTAAAAGATCAAGAAATTATCATTGCATCTGCCATTACAAACTTTTACAAGTAGTACTGTGTTCCCAGGGTTAGACATGCTCCCTTTTTGCTCCAAGCAGACAGCTGTTCTTTAATCACATGCGACAAAAATGATAAATGAGGGTTAAATTCTTGAGCTTTTTGTCTTATGATTGTCTGATCATAATTTTATTATAATTTTATTCTTATTTCTAACACTGTCAAGCTATTTGATTTTATACACAAAGATATTTATCACTTAAATTTTTCAACCACTAATATCATTTTTTCTTTTTCCCCCAGAAATTTAATTCTGTGAAAGATATAATTGACTTCTACAAATATGTTCCCATCACACTCATTGATGGAAAGGATAAAACAGGAATCCAGAGAGTACAATGCTACCTTACACATCCATTAAAGCTGCGCAAAAGACGTCTCTTACCTTAACATCACCAACTTTTGAATAAATATAAATAGAACAATTATTTAAATGCGTAAAAAGCCAGGTTAACCTTTGAGTGATCAGCTCTCCATATTATGAAGAATTCTGTATGTTCTACTAAAAATCTTCTCTCCAACTTGGATTATAGATCCATTTTTTAATTCTTGCATACGTTTTTATCTAGGAGATGTAACAAAACTGAGGACATAGGTAAAGTACAGTAAAGTATATGTCATTGTATTAACTCACATAAAAGCATTAAGAGACTGACTCCTGATACTCTGACAATGGCTGAGCAATTTGCTTATCTTGCTTTGTACCTAACAGAAGATGAAAATCAAATTCAGTCTTGCTTACCTGAATGTCATTGAAGCTCATTCAGTAGCAAAACCTAATAAAACATTCTGTATCAAAAAAATTTATTCTTTCCTTTAAAAGTACACATAAAACACTATTTGAGTATTCACTGTTTAACACTTTAATTGTGTGTGTGTGTGTACCTGCACAATAAAAATCCCTGCTTGGCAGCCACTGAAATCAATGGGTGTCAGTCAATGCTCCTACGTATTGGACCAAATCCTAAGTACACCTTTAATGACAAAAGGTCTATTGCTTAACATATAACTTTTAGCTTAAGCAGCAACTACTTGCATTCCACATTTGAATGCTCAAACACACACACATTAGGACCATTACAGAAACAGCCCCTTCGAAGTCTTACCACATGCAAGGATATAGATAAAAATCAGCAGAAACAGTAGAAAAGTTTCTAACTTACCTTAAAATGTTCCAGAGTGTATCAACGCAGATGAAATGGTGAAGTATTTTTCCAGCAAAAAACGTGATATCTATTCATACAATTTAAGTTTTGGAAAGTTTCACCATAAATGTAAAAGGAAAGTACGGACTGTAAGCATCAATGAGCATCTTTTCTCACTTTGACTGAGTAACTGGAAGAATTAAAACATTTAAGCCCAGACCATGAGATTCCAACCCAATTTATGATGTACTGTGCTGTGCAATGGCACAAACTAGCACCGAACTAATTTGAGCAGTTGGTTGTTGACTTCCTTGCAACCTTTTCATTTCTCCACGCTGTATCATAACACAAAAGAACGTTCATTGTAATTACTTCTCTCAAACCACTGAGACTCTCAAACTTGGAGGAAACTATTTTGACATGACACTATCTAATCACCGGAGTTCTGCTGAGTTTGGCAGAACTCAAAAAGGAAACGAGGCATGACATAATCTGCTTTCAGGCTTTTATAGTCACCATACAATTTAACTTACGAAAGGATTTTACATTAAAAGAAAAATATTTTTTTCTAAGTTAAACCCACAATAAAAAAAAACAGCTTAACAATTCAGACAGCAGACGATGTCAGAGACACACAAAGCTTTGTAGATGCTCACCAGAACAGTAAACTTGCTTACTAAAGACACGCATTATTAGTATACTTAAACCACCTAGTTTATAACGCTGAGCAGCAACATTTTTTCCACACACACACACACACAGAGTACAGCTTTCATAAAGAATGTTCTTATTTTGCCAGCAACAACTCTTAAGAAGCAAATTCAAAGCCATTTATTTTGTAGCTTCTACAAAAAACAAAATTAATACGGACAGTAACCTGGACTGAAAGAGTTTAACAAAGGAGGAATTTTAGCCATGTTTTTCTTATGTTAACAGTTCTAATATTTATTGTATGTGATATGCCAGAGTTTTAAAATGGAAACTATTTTCAGAATAAAAAATGTAAATAGTACTGTTAGGTTTGGCATAAAAGTACATGAAGTGAAAAAACCCTCTAGTGTACCCATCTAAAAAAATATAATTCCATTTGAATACAAAAATGAGAACTGTCCTTTCATTATTACTGACAAAACAGAGAAAAGGAAGTTTGTTCTGTGGAATACGTTAGTCTATGATACAAATGATATAAAATTTTCCAATGTTTGATGAAGAAGGTCTCACTTAAAGCACCAAGTCTCTGAACAATTTTAACAGTATTGCAAAATTATTGGAAAGCAACCTTTAACTGTTTAGCATTGTTGTACTTTGAAGTCTTAAAATATTTACATTTCAATACAGATACCGTACATACTTTATCAAAACAATGAATAATCCACCAGAGTATATAGAAAAATATTCCCAGCTTAGTTAAACTGTTTACAAAAATGCACCAACAGTGAAAATGAAGAGCTAGGAACTACCAGTGTTTCAAAACAGTAGTTCCGGTTCAAACTTAGAATACAGATCCAGCATTAGAGTTCTGAAGTCTGAGACCACACAGAAAAGTTTCTCTCCTCTCAGTCCAAGTTTAATGTGTCCTCCAACCAACCCTGCCTGCTCAGCAAAAGCAGTACAAAGGGCTGGCATGGTTGTGCTCTTTTTCTCATATCTATGCAATACAAGCTAGGTAAAAACTAAGTACTAGAAAAAATTAAGCATTTTAGTGCTATTTTACCTAGTGGGAGTAACTCTCATCTCACAGATTTCTCATTTACAGCCTTTTATTCCTCTAAAGTCAGTGGTTTTCTTCCACTGAAAATGAGTGCTTGAATTTAAGTTTTACTTCCTATATTTTGTGCCTGAATTGCCACTAAAACCTGTGATATACACTTGCAGCCCACAGAGGATTTGAAGGTGCTGTTCACTACATTATCCCTAATCTCTGAAACACTATGCTGTAATAAAACAAATTAAACCATGTTAGACAGATATCACAGTCTAGGATTTTATTTGTACAGACCCAGCAGAAACCAGGTACAGCACAGTATCCTAGAACAGATAATGGCAACAAGAAAAATGTTTGCATAGCAAATTCTTTTCAAATTTGTCTTACGGAAAAGATGAAGCTGACCTCCAATAAAACTTTCAAACATGGGAGTGCAAAGTAGTGCTTAGTTCTCAGTATAAGCTTCTCAATATCTCAATAGCTCTGCTCTCCTTTCTGCTTTCTAACAATACAGTTTCTTTTGCAAAGTAAAGCAGTTTTTCCTATCTTGTTTTCCAAGGAAATTAACGGCACTCATTGAAATTAAGATTAAAAACAAACAGACAAAACTAGTCTCTCAATTAATGCTTTGTTACTGGAAGCGAAAGAACATCCCAACCCTTGGTTGCCTCTATCAAGTGCCTCTGTCCATGGCTTATCCATTCTTCTTGGTCTGCATATACTCTTCCACAAAACCAGCACTTAAACATACACTGAAGTGCTTCAGCTGGTGAGGCTTCCACCACCTGGTAGTTGTTTTTATGGGTCTTTTTCAGTTTCATTTTTAGCATACTCTGCTTTTTTGCTTGGCTTCCTGTCTCAGCATTCTGAAGAGTAAGACGCTTTCGGTAACGTTTGACACCAAGACAACTACTTGTCCTTTCCGAGAGAACTACTTTCAGGACATGACCTTTATACTTGTTGATAGTCTTCATGACATTAATTATCTCTGGGGTGTCTACATCAGGATGGTTTAGTACCACAACTGGCTGGTTACGACGAGGGCATTTAATCAACTGATTCATTCTCAGAGGGACAAGCCGAAGACGTCTTGCTGTCAATAGATACGACATGTCAGAACCTGAACTGGTTTCTGACTGTGTTCTTGTTTTTCTCTTTGGAAGTTCCCTGAAACCTGCTTGTTTTACCTTGTATTTGTGTCCTTGTTGACTTTTTGAATAGGGTTTGCTTTGCTTGCTTACATCGCTATTTTTCTGATATGGTATAACAGTTTGCTTGCTACTAGTTTTAGCATTCATCTCTCGCTTCGGTCTTTGCCTGAGTGATATATTTCGGGACTGAGTATTTGGATCACTCTGATTAGACAAACACGGCAAATTACTGCTAAGTTTCTCAGAAACACTGACAGGAACTGGGCGAGGCAGGAGCATCTCATTGCAATACGCAGAAGGAGCTGAAGCTTCACTCATCTTTTCTATTCCTCTGGAGTTTTGACCGCTAGTAGCATTGAGCACTCTCAGCACTGTCCCTTTGGGGATAAACACTGGAGAAGCAACATTGGAATTTTTAGTCATCCTGCTTTTAGATGTTCTTGCAAATGTAAGTAGCTGCTCATTACTGTGTTCATCACTACCAATTACATTATTTCCACCATGCGCTTGAGGGAAAGACATAGGTTGTTCCAATTCAGTGGCAGAAGCAACTCTCTCACAGTTTGCTGAATTTTCCTGAGGGAAATGCATCTTTTTACTAGAAGCTTGGCATCTCAAAGGCATAGATTTCATGTTAGATTCAGCAGCAGACATAAGCTGAGCAATTTTTCTACACAGCAATGTTGTTGACTTCTTATTGCGTGTTGTATCATCCCATCTGATGTCCTCTGGAACATTTTCAGCCCCAGAGCTGAGAGAAAATACAGATGAAATAACAGGTCCCTCAAAAGGATTGTTCTTATTTTCCATTTTCTGTAATTCTAGTGATTCCAGAAGGAGATTATTTTTTTGACTTACAGTCTCGGCTTTCTTTACTTTGCTAAAGCTAAAAGTCATGTCCTCCCAAGGTGAAGTTCTAGTAACATGAAAGTTTTTTTCTGCTTCAGAACATGTAACAGATTTTCTATCAAAACCCTTAGCAGCTAAATGTGTTTCTGCAGAGTTGACTATCAGACTCCTACATTCTTTGTCATCCCTCTTTAGTGGAAACATATCTTTCTGTTTAAGGACAGCAGAAGAGTAGAAATTTTTGTTGCCCTCCTGAGTAGTCTTTACTGAATTGTTCTTGGAACTTTTATCTTCAGAAACAGAAGCATACTTTGGACGAGATCTATCCACACCTTCTTCGTAACAATACAAATCATAATGCAAGTTATTTTTTCCATCCACTTCCCACTTGGGTGATTTAAGATCACTTTTTTTTTCAGTACTATTAGTCACCAATGACTGAGAACAAAGTTCTATAACACCTGAATGCACATCAATACCTTTCACCAAATGAAGGCATAATTTTGATGAATCCTCTTTCTGAATTGATGTAGAGTTGCAGTCTGAGTACTGAGAATCAGATGGATAAAGGCATTCAGAATTCTTCTCATACTTACTGTCTAAATTAAGCTGATTATTAATACTGGAAAACTTGTCTACATTCACTTCCATGGTTAGTAATTCATTTGAAGATACAGATGTTTTTTTTCCTTCTGCACTTCGCTCTGTACCTTGATTCTCAAGTCCCAACTCAGCACAGTTCACAGGCCTACAAGCTGCTTCTTTCATAGGAATTAGTTTAAGAACCAACTGTTGAGCTCCATTCACTATTTTAATTTCTACTATCTGAGCTAAACAGTTAGAAGGAACTACAAGTTCAGATGGCGCAATTACAGTTAAAGGCATTCCAGGTTGTAAAGGCTCCATTTTTGGAGAATAAACCTCAACTTCCACACTCTGATTCTCACACATGCTTATTTCAGATGGCTCCAATATTGTTTTATTCTGGATTGTAGCTGCATTGATGCTACCTATATCATGAGACGAAGAGACTATTTTAGTCACTTTATCTGGAATCTCACAAGTGATATTTGAAGATGAATTTGAAAGTTCATTCTGAAAAGTAATTTCTTCATATTTCTGCTTTTCAAATAAAGTGCTTTGACTTGGTAAGCAAGACTTCTTTTGCTGACGTTTTAAGCCAGTATTTGATAGCCGTTTTTTGGGCGCTTCATGCACTCTTCTTGTATGTTTCACTATGTAGTCATGCCTAACAGCACCATACTCACAGTATTCACACTGATACGGAAAAGTTCCAGTGTGCTTCACCAAATGTCTCTGGAATTCACCTTTGGTGTAGGATATATAATTACAATAGGAACAAATAAATTTAATTTCTTCATGTTGACCTACATGCTTTTTATACTGCAAAGGATCCTTTGTTGAAAATCTGCATTTATCACAGTAGTATTTACCGGGCAAAAAGTTTTTAACTTTAAATGCTTTCTGTTTTTTTCTTGGATAAGTTTTCTCATGTTTTTCAAAGTCCATGGCATTGGCACCTTCAGGGACAAAATGGAAAGCAGGCGGTGTAATATGACTGCACATCTTGCAGATGAAGTTTTTGTCTTCAGTCCACCCAAGTTTCTTATGCTTTTCTAAATCTTGCTTTGAAATTTTCTGAATATTTCTGCATTTCATACAGCTTATCAATGACAGCTTATTATTCTCAGCCTCAGTCCCTTGGTAACAGTAGTTCTGATTATCATCACCATTTGACGGATTTGTTTTATCTTCAAACGATTGCTTTGGGGATGTAGTTAAGGAATTATTTTTACCATTAACTTGGCCAGGATACAATCTTGGTAGAATTTCCCTCATTTTTTTCAACTGCATTTCAGAAGATGCAAATGTGCACCAGCTTCGTCAAACAGCAGCAACAGAATGTTTTCTTGATGTTAGTCTGGTGCATGCGGCTTATCAATTACTCGCTCAGTCCACCAGTCCGCAAAATATGCT